CGTAATCCTCTTAACAAGTTTCAGAAAGAAAAGTCTACATAAAAGCTGCAAAAAGCTCGCTCTCAATTCTCTTTGAAAGTTCTCTTGCTGCACAACAACATTGCGCTGAGGCTTATCAATGGCTACTGCTCGCGGCCCCATTCCTGATATTAAACCGCCAATTAAATGTTAATTAACACAATTATTCTTATTGGAAAAGTTGTGATTTCTAATTTAAGAATAGAATCCAACGCTAATCGAATCGAATCGCTTTACATGCAACCAATTCATGATATGCTGCGCTAGTACTGCGTGATCCTTCCGGGCAAGTCAATTAGCAAATTGTTTGTAGAAAACATTAAAAACAAAAACTTATAAATAATAAAAAGCTCACGATTCCCGCTATAGATAATTGATTTATTTGCATAGCGCACACTTTGGACATAAATTCAAACAACTTCGGACAAGTTCCGTTTGGGTAGCACAGCTCTGATTTGATATGGCTTTTGCTTTTTGCCTCAAGCAAAAACGTGCTTGGTTTGTTTAATGATATAATCGAAATTGTTTTTCAATTGTTATTTTGGCATACTTATTTTTATATATTTCGTAGATGAACCATTCAGATACATTCCCCTTGCCAAAACGCGTGAGCTCTTTCTCGTGCTTTTACTCTTGCTCTTTCTCTCTGACGGCTCCCACACACGTTTATGTCTCCGTCAATCAGTTAACATAATATTTACGTTGGCTATTCGCCAAACGTTTCTCGTAACCCCAGCAAAAGACAATTACAAATATTATCATTGGGCATTTGTGAAAAGCGCTAAACAGTTGAGTAACTCCCATGCGCATTCACAATTGCAACTGTTCGATGCGTAGACACTGACTATGAAAATAAAGTTCGTTTACTTGCATATTTACCATATAAAGGTGTTATTTGCCTAAGGTATATGATATAGTATGACATATAATGGAGAATTGATGAGGATTTTATACTTTCAACTTTGTATTAAGTCAATTATTGATTTAGTTTATATATATCTAAAGCAAACCGATTACTTATGAGATTGCAGATATGATAGAAACATAGTGAATTAATTTTTAATGACATAATGGGTATACGAAGAAATCAGGAAGGTGGCAATATATATATAGGTAAAAAATTCAAGATTACAAATAATATATAATATAGTAAACACATTTAACTGAACCTGGGATGCCCTGTAAAAAGTAAACAGAAGATAGCTTTATTTACCAGCTACTCTATATTTAAATCAAAAAAAAAATATACAAACAAAAACAAAATTTAATATACAAAGATATTCCTATAAATATTTAATATAGGACTAAAAACATTTCCTCGTATGCAGTATATGTTTCACAATCGGCTCGAAATACCCTCGACAGACAAATATTTCCCATTGGTATTATACCTCGGCGATTACGAATAGGTGGACGAGCGCAAGCACTAAATACATTTGTTTTTATGAGAACGGGATTAAGATCAGAAAGGTTATCGTATTCAGATTGTCCAATAAAAAAATATAAAAAAAAATTGCAAAAAATAAAAATGAAATAAACAATAAAAACATTTTATATTTAGCCACATGCCGAGCGAAAAAAACCATCATATATTATATATATACAAATGTTATATATGTGAACATATATACTTCAGATTGCATATCAGCTCAGTGTTCATTCAGAGCATGTGGTTCGGGTTACTTTTCATTTGCTCAATTGAAGTGCAATGACGATTGAGACATTTAACGGGGCATTGCGTGCTCGGCTTTGATAGACGAGTGCCACAGAATCAAATGTGAATTGTTGCACTGATTTATTTACACACATTGCGTGGCACGCAATTTGCAATTTGCCACTTGATATTGCTGCTGCCGCTGCTTCTACTGTTGCTGCTGCAATTGCGTCAGTGTTGTTGACTGACAGCGCCCGATACGCTGATAGGCGCTGCACTGATTGATGTCGCCCATTGATTATTGATAAAGAGAGTAAACGTTTTTTAAAGTGTAAATATATTCTTGATATATGTATATATAAACATTCTTGATTAGGAGCAGCAAACGAGCCGATATGGAATTCTCGATCTTTCTATTTGTCTGCGAATCAATCTTAGGCTTAATCTTGAAACCTTTAAGAACTAGAGCACTGAAGTTTGCCTTTCCAGTTTTGCCCACCCTATACTATCTACTACGATAAGTTCGTTTGGGTATTTTCAATATTTGTTTTTGCCTCTTTTATTATTTCTATTCGTAATCAAATTAATATTCGAGTAATGAAAGAGACCTTTACATATCTACTACCATTTATGCCATTAGCAAAAGATATATAAAGATGACCTGACCTATATATACCTACCAATGTGCCTAAATATGTACATATATATAGCCATTATATTCATATCAATCTGCATCTAGTACAAGGTTCTAAAAAGGTTCGCTTAGGGCATCTCCCAGTCAGGCCACTCCCCATTAAAGCCTTGCTCCTTATTCTTGCTGATAAGTAAACCTTTTAAAGTGCGAATTGCAGTAAACGTCACACAAGTAAATACTGTAAATATATTGCTATTCACCTATTGCTGATAATTCAAGCCCATTCATATAGTCGGAGAAGCTGTTGGAGCAAATAAGTGAATATGAACGCTGCCTGATAAGAGTAGACACTATTTACTTATATTGCTTTTATTTTTAAATATAGCTCTCGTAATAAGTGGAGAGCGCTGAGCATGTGCGCTTGTAAAACGTGCAGAGAGTGTGATATCTCTGCCTGACGATATCTGGAGACGCGACTCGGCTCGTGTCTTGTTGCTCAGCATCGAGAAGCGAGAAGCGAGCGTCGAGCATCGTTCGCTGCTTGTGGAGGATTTGCTATTTGCTAATTTGCCTCTCGTAGGGTCTCTCGCAGCTAAAAATGGGTGGCGTTTGATTTACGCAGAAGATATATAAGTTGGCGCACTATGGATATATACATATATAAATATTTGCCAGTGACACTCCAACGCTCAGACTGACATTGACAGTGGAGCAGCTCGATCGAGTTTGTAACTCAGAAAAAGACATTCGCATATACAAATATTCTATAAATACACAAATACCGTTAGCATGAGTCGCGAGTGCTTGAATCGGTAAATATCAAAAATAAACTTCCATAAAAAACTTGTTGGTTATAAAAAAATTGTATAGACTGTGCTTTCTTCTCTATATTTTGAAAAAACAAATTACGCAAACTTTGGCACCCAATTTGACCTTCAAATGAACAAAATGGGAAAAATATTGTGCATAAAATAAATAGAAAACAATATTTGTTTAAAAAAGCATTGGATTCCAGGGAAAATACGGCTCTATAAAAAATTATTTATAATTTAAATGAGCCATTAAATTATTATATTTTGCCAGCTTAATGCAAGCCAAATGTGGAGTGTTTAGAATTTTCTTTGAAGAGTCGCTGTCGTATTTATGTTTACATTTACAGTTCATCTGATTTTTCTAATGAAAATATCTTTAAAAAGTTATTAAATATGAAATAACTGCTAGAATTCAGCTTTACAGCTATTTTTATGGCTTTAAACAGCTATTAAAATTTCCAAAAATTTTGCTTAAATATTTTTAGTAGCTGTAAGACATGCTTATATTATTTAACTATTTTTAATTTCTATTTCCAATAGTATATCTAAAGTTTTCACTTTGGTATAGCATACAAAAGTTTGTCAATAAAAATATTTAAATATAGATTTTTTGAAAGAGAAAAAACGAATATTCGACAAATTATATGTGAGCCGAAAAAATCAAAAGTGCGAGCAAAGTTTTTCTTATAACAAAGATATTATTTACGTGAACAACTTTAAAGCGTGGAATTAATCTAAATAAAAATTTAAAAAAAAAAAATAATAAAAATTAAAAAAAATAATAATAAAAATTAAAAAAAAAAT